TAAAATTGTTGATTTTTTGGTGGGAAATTAATCATTTAGATTAATCGATTAATCGATAAATTAGTCGATAGATTAATCGAAATAAAAATAGTCGTTAGTGGCAGCCCTACTATACATAAAGTATCTATATAGCTTTTTTTATTCATTTTTATTTGTTATAGTTTAGAACATCAAGTTAAACTAAATGAAAATGAGAAAGGATGCCCCTGGCAACTGGCTGAAATAAAATACATATAATATTTGTTTTAAATTTTATTTGTAATGTAACAAGTAATTAATTATTTTAAGGCTATTAACAATACTAACTCGTATTGAAAGAGAACAAAACTTGAACGGACTTGAGCTGAGTAATGACACTCTAGTCTTCTTTACAGCAGAATCTGAATTTCATTAGAGTTGTTATTATTAGTGTGAATGAGACTCATCTGGATCTTCCTGTCGTTCCTCCTGGTCTCTCCTCAGGCCGTCTACTCGCACGAGAAAGTGAAAATGGAGGGAACCATCTCACAGCAGACCAAACTCATCGACTTCCTGCAGGCCAAGATGGACCAGCCCACCAAGAAGAAGAAGGTATGAGAGACAGGAAGTGAGAGAGAGAGACAGGAGGATGCTAATGAGAGACAGGAAGTGAGAGAGAGAGACAGGAGGATGCTAATGAGAGACAGGAAGTCTGAGAGAGAGACAGGAAGTGAGAGAGAGACAGGAGGATGCTGATGAGAAACAGGAAGTGAGAGAGAGAGAGACAGGAGGATGCTAATGAGAGACAGGAAGTGAGAGAGAGAGACAGGAGAATGCTAACGAGGCCTCAGGGAGTCTCAGCGTTCATCTCGTTACAGTCTGTGTGAATCTCAGTGTGTTTGATTTGTGGGATTGAGTGTTTCTCACTGAACCGCAGGCGCTTTATTAACGGTTTCTGAGTTTTACTGCTCATGCTGTTGAATCCGCCTGCCTGTGGAAACCAGTTAATCCAGAACTAGCTTTATTAAAGAGAATAAAACGGCTCCCACAGTTCTGGAAAACCTGGGAATATCAGGAAATCCAGGCTTGGATGTCATGGACATGGTTTTTATGGTCTATAGTCCATAAAAACCATTATTAATAACTGAGCACCAATAATAACTGATAATGATATGAACCAAATCAGCATATTATACTGATTTCTGAAGATCATGTGACACTGAAGACTGGAGGAATGATGCTGAAAATACAGCTGCGCATCACAGCAATACATTATATTTTACTATGTTCACATATAGAAAATCATCATTTGAAATAGTAATAATATTTCACTATTATAGTTTTTACTGTATTTGTATAAAATAAATGCAGCCTTGGGAAAGCAAAAGAGACTTCTTTCAAAAACATAAAAAAATAATAAATATCCCAAATTTTATTTGTAAATTACTTTGTCTGCGAGATTTCTAACAATCCTTATCACAACTGCCAAGTTATTTCTATTTTTAGTTTTCGGATTTTTAGGAGGAATAAAAAAAGAATCTTAAATATGTTATTTAATTCTGTTCTTATTTTTAATAACTTAAACCTGGTTTTTCCATGAAAATAGAAGAAGCTGGCATGGTGTTAGAAAGAAACAAATGGGATATAAAGAAATTAGTTATTTTAAAGTAAAAACAATCAAAGTGAAACACTTACTAAAAAAGATGATAAATATGACCCAAGTCACAAGGGTCCATTTTTTTAAAATTGAGATGTAAACATCATCTGAAAGCTGAATAAATAAGCTTTCCATTGATGTATGGTTTGTTAGGATCGGACAATATTTGGCCGAGATACAAAATCTGGAATCTGAGGGTGCAAAAACATCTAAATATTGAGAAAATCATCTTTAAAGTTGTCCAAATGAAGTTCTTAGCAATGCATATTACTAATCAAAAATTAAGTTTTTATATATTTATGGTAGGACATTTAAAAAATATCTTCATGGAACATGGTCTTTACTTAATATCCTAATGATTTTTAGCATAAAAGAAAAATCAATAATTGTGACCCATACAATGTATTGTTGGCTATTGCTACAAATATCCCCCAGCGACTTAACACTGCTTTTGTGCTGCAGGGACACATATTTTATTTGAAATAAAACAAATAAATTAAACTTTAAACAGATTAAATATAGCTAGCAAAGAAACAGTACAGATGAATAATATTGGTAATCTGTCATAATGTGATCTCGGTGATCAGCGGTTGTGTGTCATGTACCTGTGTGTGTGTGTGTGTGTGTGTGTGTGTGTTTAGGGTATTTTCGGGCGGCGGCGTGAGGAGGTGGGTGTCACGGCTAACAGCGCCGCCGCGGTCTCGTCTCAACCCACCGTTCCCCTGCAGTACGGTGACATGAAAGCAGCGCTGGAGAAGGAGCGAGTGCACTGCTCAGAGCTGGAGGAGGCGCTGCAGAAGATGAGGATCGAGCTGCGCTCCTTACGAGAGGAGGGTGAGTCTGAGTCTTCAGTGTGGGCCTCGTCTCTCCATGTGACCATGTGAATGTTGTTGAGGATCTTCTCTGTGTCTCTCAGCGGCTCATTTTAAAGTGCAGGAGCACATGGCTCCGTCCACGCCGGCCTCGGCCCGTCAGCAGATCCTCATGTCGGCCATCGTGAAATCTCCGGAGCGCCAGCCCAATCCCAGCAGCCTCCTGAACACTTCCAGCTCGGCCCGCCGCAAAGAGAGCTCCACGCCGGAGGGTCAGTCTTTACACTCACTCCAACACAAGTACACAGACTCTTACTGTGACTGTTTCTCATAATACAGATAAAGTCTTCAGCTGATTTGTTGGTTATATCAGACCGTATAGTGGTTATTATTTAAAGAAAAAATGATGCATTATGCTGAACTTATTGTGAACAGTTAATCAGAACACATTAATCCAAGCATAACAGAATCCAGATCATATTTTACTCCTAAATAAAAAAAAATATATAAGAAATTAAATGAAGAATGTTTTTGCATTGTGACATTTTCATGAATATTAAACGCATTTAATCTAAAATTCTCATTAGCGTTATTCAGAAATGGTAATGAAGTAAGTGTGTGTGTGTAAAAGATATATACATAAGTATACAAATTCTTACAATTATTTATATATGTGTAAATACATGTATAGAAACAATTGTAAGAATTAACATAAAAATCATTTATCATATATATTCAGTTATTAAATTAAAATTGCATAAATAATTATTAAACCATATACAGTGGGGCAAAAAAGTATTTAGTCAGCCACCAATTGTGCAAGTTCTCCCACTTAAAAAGATGAGAGAGGCCTGTAATTTTCATCATAGGTATACCTCAACTATGAGAAACAAAATGAGAAAAAAAAAATCCAGAAAATCACATTGTAGGATTGTTAAAGAATTAATTGGTAAATTCCTCGGGAAAATAAGTATTTGGTCACCTACAAACAAGCAAGATTTCTGGCTCTCACAGACCTGTAACTTCTTATTTAAGAGGCTCCTCTGTCCTCCACTCATTACCTGTATTAATGGCATCTGTTTGAACTCATTATCAGTATAAAAGACACCTGTCCAAAACCTCAAACAGTCACACTCCAAACTCCACCATGGCCAAGACCAAAGAGCTGGCAAAGGACACCAGAAACAAAATTGTAGACCTGCACCAGGCTGGGAAGACTGAATCTGCAATAGGTAAGCAGCTTGGTGTGAAGAAAACATCTATGTACATATGTGTTCTTATTTCTTCTGGTTTTGGGGTGAAATAAAAGTTTTTCTGAGATTCCTTTGAGCATAGTTTTTCAGTCTCAGATGAATGAAGCTCGTGTGGTCTGTAGATGAGGAATATTTCAGTCGTTTTCTCTCTCTGTGGCTGCTTCTGTCTCTCCTCATGTTTCTGTCGCTGTCCTCCTGCACTCTTGCTTTCTTTCTGCGTCCTGCTCCGTCAAATCTGAGAGCTGTTTCTCTTCTGCTCTTTCAGAGAAGAGGAGGGTGACGTTTGAAAGTAAGTGTCTCTCTTTCCCTCCGTCCCTGTTTCTGTCGCTCTGAGATCAGCATGTAGTTGAGGGCCGTGCGCTGATGGAGAGAAAACACACACACAACAGCCACATGGGCCGTTCACACAGAACACATTTTGACTTTGAAAACCGCGAGACACGGGCAGTGGAAAAAGCGCAAGGTCTGAAGACGCATTTTTAAAAAAAAGTTGAACCTGTTCTAACTTGAGCTCTGTGTTTTTAGGACGCCGTGTTGCTGCAAAGACACAAACACAACCGTAGAATGCACCCGTCTAGCGCATTTATATAGAAAAACAACGGGAAAGTAGCGCAGTGGAGTCGAAAAACACATTCTGTGTGAACGGCCCCTAACAACCACATAGCAACGCCTTGGCAGCCTCCCACAACACTGTAGCTTTGTTTGAATGTTAAAAATTTAAATTATTAAAAGTTTTACTTGCATTTTGACCTAAATGTTGTTTAAATAAAAAGTGTGCTGTAAGATTTTTGAATGTTTTTTTTAAAGAAGTATCTTCTGCTCATCAAGGCTGCATTTATTTGATCGAAAACACAGAATAAACTGTAATATTGTGAAATATTATTGCAATTTAAATTAATGTTTTTTTTTTAATTTATTTTAGTATAAAGCTGATGCAAAGCTGAATTTTCATCAGCCGTTACTCAAGTCAAAGGTTCTGGATCAGTACATTTTAATTTTTCTATTTGAATGAATTTAATACTTTTATTCAGCAAGGATGTGTTAAACTGATAAAAAGTGATATTAAAGAATTATATTCTATTATAAAATATTTATATTTTGAATCAATGCTGTTTTTATATTCTATTTTATTGTTATTTCTATTTTATTTATTTTTTTATATTCTAATTTTATATTATTTTTTAAATATTTTATATTCATCAAAGAATCCTGAAAAAGTATCAAAGGTTCTAAAAAACTATTAAGCAGCAAAAACTGCTTGCGACATTGATAATAGATCAGAATATTGATAATAAATCTGAAGGAGGACAGTGAAGACTGAAGTAATGGCTGATAAAAAAATCCAGCTTTGCATCACAGGAATAAATTATATTTTAAAGTATATTAAAATAGAAAACGCTATGTTAAATTGTAACAATATTACTGTTTTTTTTCTGTTTTTTTGATCAAATAAATACAGGCTTGATGAGCAGAAGAGACTTCTTTAAAAAAAACATAAAAAATCTTACTGATCCCAAACCTTTGAGATAGATAGATAAATAGATCAGTTTCTCAGAAAACAAGACTTCTTATTTTGAGTCATTGTGCTTCTAAAGTAAATGTATGTTGATTTAAGAATCTTTAGAGATTTGTTCTGGAAAACAAGACAAACGCTGAGTTTCTGCAGCCGGTCTCTCACTCCTGCTGTCCTCTGTCTCTTGTCTCGGGTTTTGCAGCATGTTGTGTCTTAAGATGATTGACGGTTGAGTTTCTGCTCTCATCTTTCTTTGATTCTCGAGTCTGACGTGCACGGACCTGCATGTGATCGCCGGCGATGCTTGTTTTGCTCAGAAAGAGACGGATTCATGCACGGTTTTGTTGTGGTCGATGAAGCCGTTGCTGTGCTGCTGGACTGTGATGAGTTTTATTTTAGGCTGATTTGTCATCGTTCACACTGAGATGCTCAAGAGGATATTAACTAACCAGCTAACGCTCTGTCTCTGTCTGTCTGTAGAGTACGGGCGACGCGTGAAGGAGAGAATGCATCACAACATCCCGCATCGCTTCACGGTGGGGCTGAACATGAGAGCTGCGAAATGTGCCGTCTGTCTGGACACGGTCCACTTCGGCCGACAGGCTGCCACATGTCTGGGTACAAAAACACACAAATACACATACGCCCTTGAATTTCCCCAGAAGGAGGTTTTGTCAGTTTTAGCTCACTTCTGAGAAAAAATGGTACTAATAATGTGGTTACATACACCACCATTCAAAAGTCTGGGGTTGGTAAGATTTGTAATGCTCATCAAGGCTGCATTTATTTGATCAGAAATACAGCAAAAATTTAATTAATAACAATATAAGAATTTTTGCATATAAAAAGTATTTACACACACTACCATTCAAAAGTTTGGGTTAATGAGATTTTTTTTTCTGCTCATCAAGGCTGCATTTATTTGATCAGAAATACAGAAAAAATTTAATTAATAACAATATAAGAATTTTTGCATATAAAAAGTATTTGCACACACTACCATTCAAAAGTTTGGGTTAATGAGATTTTTTTTTCTGCTCATCAAGGCTGCATTTATTTGATCAAAAAATACAGTAAAAATTGTTAAATATTATTATGATTTAAAACAGCTGTTTTCTATGTGAATAACTTTTAAAATGTAATATATTTCTGTGATCAAAGCTGAATTTTCAGCATCATTACTCCAGTCTTCAGTGTCACGTGATACATTGTATTTTTCAGGATTCACAAATGAATAGAAAGTTCAAAAGAACAGCATTTATTTGAAATTTAATTAATAACAATATAAGAATTTTTGCATATAAAAAGTATTTGCACACACTACCATTCAAAAGTTTGGGTTAATGAGATTTTTTTTTCTGCTCATCAAGGCTGCATTTATTTGATCAAAAAATACAGTAAAAATTGTTAAATATTATTATGATTTAAAACAGCTGTTTTCTATGTGAATAACTTTTAAAATGTAATATATTTCTGTGATCAAAGCTGAATTTTCAGCATCATTACTCCAGTCTTCAGTGTCACGTGATACATTGTATTTTTCAGGATTCACAAATGAATAGAAAGTTCAAAAGAACAGCATTTATTTGAAATAGAATTTTTGTAACATTATAAATGTCTTTACTGTCACTTTTGCTCAATTTAATGCGTCCTTGATGAATAAAAGTATCTTACTGACCCTAAAATGGCACCTAAATATGCAGTGCTCAAGTTAAAAGAATTTCAACTTATAAAAACTTGCTTTTTGTTTTTAAATTTAGTTTCCAAAAACTTCTCAAAAAGTGTTGTGTGTGAACGTCCCCTAAATGAAAGAATTATCAGTAGAGAATTAGTTATTTTTCTCTTTTTTCTTTTCCTCTCCCATCTCATCTCGTCTCGGCTCGTCTCTCGGTCAGAGTGTCGTATTCTCTGCCACCCCAAGTGTTCCCCGTGTCTGCCGGCGACCTGCGGTCTTCCTGCTGAATACGCCACACACTTCTCTGAGGCTCTGTGTCGGGATAAAGCCAGCTCCCCTGCGCTGCAGGTCAAAGAGGCCTCGGGTCACGTGCGTCTGGAGGGCTGGATGAAGCAGCCCAGGTGCGGCTCACGTGTGTTTGTGTTAGATTTGGCGTCAGACCTGAACTGGTTTTTGAGTATGAAACAATTATTTATTTATGAATGCCTTTTTCATTTAGGCTCATGCATGCAAAGTTTCAACGCTCTGTGTGTTGTGGAATACAAAGTTTCTATAACGATTATGATGTTGTGAGTCGGTTAACTAAAACCACCAAAAACATTCTTGCTGCGAAGACAGCGTTTCTCATTCTCATTAAGTTTGTTTAATTAACTAAACTATATAGGCATTTAAAAAAAACTAAAAATGACAAACATAATATTACTAAAACTAACTAAAATGAAAACAAAATATAAAAATAAAATCTAATTTAAAATACTGACAAAAGCTATAATAGTATATCAATAATATTAAAATAACTGGGTTAAATGCAGCGGCACAGCAAATGTTTTTGTTTGTTTTTAGGTATTTTATATCAGTTTCTCAACTACATGTACTTTTATAAAAAATATATATATATATATACAGTGTATATCACATGGTCCTAAGTATTCAGACCCTTTGCTCAGTATTTAGTAGAAGCACCCTTTTGATCTAATACAGCCATGAGTCTTTTTGGGAAAGATGCAACAAGTTTTTCACACCTGGATTTGGGGATCCTCTGCCATTCCTCCTTGCAGATCCTCTCCAGTTCTGTCAGGTTGGATGGTAAACGTTGGTGGACAGCCATTTTTAGGTCTCTCCAGAGATGCTCAATTGGGTTTAAGTCAGGGCTCTGGCTGGGCCATTCAAGAACAGTCACAGACTTGTTGTGAAGCCACTCCTTCGTTATTTTAGCAGAGTGATTAGGGTCATTGTATTGTTGGAAGGTAAACCTTCGGCCCAGTCTGAGGTCCTGAGCACTCTGGAGAAGGTTTTCATCCAGGATATCCCTGTACTCGGCCGCATTCATCTTTCCCTCGATTGCAACCAGTCATCCTGTCCCTGCAGCTGAAAAACACCCCCACAGCATGATGCTGCCACCACCATGCTTCACTGTTGGGACAGGTGATGAGCAGTGCCTGGTTTTCTCCACACATACCGCTTAGAATTAAGGCCAAAAAGTTATATCTTGGTCTCATCAGACCAGAGAATCTTATTCTGGTGTTTTTTAGCAAACTCCATGCGGGCTTTCATGTGTCTTGCACTGAGGAGAGGCTTCCGTCGGGCCACTCTGCCATAAAGCCCCGACTGGTGGAGGGCTGCAGTGATGGTTGACTTTCTACAACTTTCTCCCATCTCCCGACTGCATCTCTGGAGCTCAGCCACAGTGATCTTTGGGTTCTTCTTTACCTCTCTCACCAAGGCTCTTCTCCCCCGATAGCTCAGTTTGGCCAGACGGCCAGCTCTAGGAAGGGTTCTGATCGTCCCAAACGTCTTCCATTTAAGGAATGGAGGCCACTGTGCTCTTGGGAACCTTAAGTGCAGCAGAAATTTTTTTGTAACCTTGGCCAGATCTGTGCCTTGCCACAATTCTGTCTCTGAGCTCTTCAGGCAGTTCCTTTGACCTCATAATTCTCATTTGCTCTGACATGCACTGTGAGCAGTAAGGTCTTATATAAGCTGTGTCTCATTTAGAAGGCTGCGTCCTCCGGAGGTCGCATTCGAAGGCTGCATACGTCATCGAGGCTGTCTCATTTCAGAAAAGCAAGTAGGACACTCCGAATGCGACCTTCTTTCACAGGATTTCGGAGGACTGTGTGTACATTAATGAGGAAAAAAAATTAACTTAAATGATTTTAGCAAATGGCTGCAATATAACAAAGAGTGAAAAATTTAAGGGGGTCTGAATACTTTCCGTACCCACTGTATATACTATTCTATATATTTCTCAACTACATGTACTTTTATCTAATATATATAAAATGCATTGATGTAATATATTTTTATCAGTTTATACATACTAAGAATTGACCCTGCGATGCTTCTACTGTTTGAGCTTCAGGAAAGCAGACAGAAAAAGTGCTTTTCCACACTTCTGTTTGCAAAGTTGACCAATGTTTAAAAAAACATTTCTTAAAGACTGTTTTAAAAATCATATGCTCTCATGTTAAATTTTTCTGTTAACATTAAAGGTTTTACGGTTTCAGCTGGTTTTTGTTGGTTTGGTTTTCATCGTGGGATTATTTTTCGGTGGATTATATCAAATCCGCTAACACCAGAAAGTCTTACCCAGATTATCATCATAATACACACAGTGCAGTAGATCATATCAAACGTCCTGTCATTGAGCGGCTGTTTTTGGTGTGTTTTGTAGGAATGGAAAGAGAGGGCAACAGGGCTGGGAGAGGAAGTATGTGGTGCTGGACGGGACGAAATTATCAATCTACGAGTCCGAGCCGGCAGAAGGTAGACGATCACTCGTGTCCTGTGAGCTCTGCTTTGCTTTGTGTCCTGAACTCATATAAATATGTGTGTGTTTCAGACTCGGTGAAGCCACTGGAGGAGTTTGAGTTGTGTTTGCTGGATGGTGAGGTTACGGTACACGGAGCCGTCGGAGCCTCTGAGCTCATCAACACGGCCAAATCAGGTCAGAACAGGGAAAAACACTGCCATACAAACTGACTTTGAATGACTGCTTTAGAATTATGAAATAATTTTATACATGCATATGAGACCCTGGACCACAAAATCAGTCATAAGTGTCAATTTTTTGAAATTGATATTTATACATCATATAAATATAATAAATAAAAAATAAGCTTTCCATTGATGTATGGTTTGTTAGTATAGGACAATATTTGGCCGAGATACAACTATTTGGAATCTGAGGGTGCAAAAAAAATCTAAATATTGAGAAAATCATCTTTAAAGTTGTCCAAATGAAGT